GGGTGAGGGGGTCGGAATTGCTCGGGCACCTGGAAAGAGACTGAGAGCTCAAGGGGGAACCCACAGCCCCCCCGGGAGCCGTGGGGCAGAGTTTGGGGTTTGGGGGGGAGCCTGGGGAGGGGGACAGGAATACACCAGCAGCTCCGTGGACCCCAGCCCTGCCCCAGGGAGGGGGGAGACCCCCCCCTGCCACCCCCCCGGCCCCCACTTACACGGGCACCTCCTCCTGCGGGACGTAGCCCTCCTTCACCCGCCGCTGCTTCCGCCAGGTGCCGTCGGGGCGCTGCGTGGAGGCGATGTACTTCCCTGCCGGGCCAAGAGCCGTCGGCCGGGGCGCACGGGACACCCCACGGGGGCCATGGGGCACCCCACGCACCCCATAAGGGTTCAGGGACACCCCACAGGGACCTCAGGACTCCCCACGGGGGCCCCAGGGCACCCAACACACCCCATAAGGGCTCAGGGACACCCCACAGGGACCCTAGGACACCCCACAGGGACCCAGAGGCACCCCACGCACCCCATAAGGGCTCAGGGACACCCCATAAGGGCTCAGGGACACCCCACAGGGGCCCAGAGGCACCCCACGTGCCCCATAAGGGCTCAGGGACACCCCACAAGGGCTCAGGGACACCCCACGGGGGCCCTGGGGCAACCCACGCACCCCATAAGGGCTCAGGGACACCCCACAGGGGCCCAGAGGCACCCCACGTGCCCCATAAGGGCTCAGGGACACCCCACAAGGGCTCAGGGACACCCCACGGGGGCCCTGGGGCAACCCACGCACCCCATAAGGGCTCAGAGACACCCCAGGACACCCCACAGGGGCCCTGGGGCACACCACAAGGGCTCAGGGACACCCCACAGGGACCCCAGGACACCCCACGGGGACCCCAGGACACCCCACGCACCGCATAAGGGCTCAGGGACAACCCACGGGGACCCCAGGACACCCCACGCACCCCATAAGGGCTCAGGGACACCCCACGGGGACCCCACGCACCCCATAAGGGCTCAGGGACACCCCACAGGGGCCCTGGGGCACCCCACACCCCCCATAAAGGCTCAGGTACACCCACAGGGACCCCAGGACACCCCATAAGGGCTCAGGGACACCCCACAGGGACCCCAGGACACCCCACAGGGACCCTGAGGCAACCCACGCACCCCATAAGGGCTCAGGGACACCCCACAGGGGCCCTGGGGCACCCCACACCCCCCATAAAGGCTCAGGTACACCCACAGGGACCCCAGGACACCCCATAAGGGCTCAGGGACACCCCACAGGGACCCCAGGACACCCCACAGGGACCCTGAGGCAACCCACGCACCCCATAAGGGCTCAGAGACACCCCACAGGGACCCCAGGACACCCCAAAGGGTGGGGGACGGGACCTGCCCCACAGAGATGGGGCGGAGGGAAGCAAGCCCCACGGGCAGCGGGGGGGCGGGCCCTGCCCCGTGGGTTTAGGGAGGGACACCCGCCCCACGGGGAGCCCCCCCCGTAGAGGCGGGGAACGGGAGCTGCCCCACAGAGATGGGGCAGGGGCCCGCAGGCCCCACAGACACGGAGGGGCGCCTGCCCCACAGGGCGCGGGGGGTGGGCCCTGCCCTAGAGATCCGGGAGGGGGGGTTGGGGGGACAACAGCGGCCCCACGGGAGCCGGGCCCGGCCCCACGGGAGCCGCCCGCCCCACGGCGCCGGGCCGGGCCTCACTCACCGGTCTCGTCAGTCACATAGGGAGTCGCCATCTTGCGAGCGCGACACACTTCCGGCTTCCTCTTAGCCCCGCCCCGGAAGTGGCGCCAACCCGGGTGTGGCTGCTCTCGGGGGGGAGCCGCCGGAGAGAGGGGGCGGCCATTTTGTTTTTAAAGGGGCCGCGCCTGCGGTTTCACCCAAGCCCCAAACCGCCACCGCCGGCCCCGATGGCACCCCGAGATACCCCGGGGGAGGAGGAAACGGTGTGGGCGCGGGGCGGGAGCGCGGCTCCAGGGGGTGCCCGGGGGGTGTGTATTTTCCAAACCCCTCCCTCGTGGACCCGCCAGGTACGGACCGGGGACCCGTACCGGGGGGCGAAGGGGGGCTCGTACCGGGCGGTGCCGGGGTATTCCGGGAAATACCGGGCAATACCGTCCTCTACCGGGCACTCCCGGGCTCTACCGGGCGATACTGGGTTGTAAGGGAGCTCTGCCGGGCCGTACCCTGTCTTTACCGGGTTGTAACGTGCTCTACCGGGATGTAATGGGCTGGACCGGGGCTCTACTGGGCGCTACAGGTCTTTAACGGAGCTCTACCGGGATGTAATGGGCAATACCGGGGCTCTACCGGGATGTAATGGGCAATACCGGGGCTCTACCGGGCGCTACAGGTCTCTAATGGAACTCTACCGGGATGTAATGAGGAATACCGGGGCTCTACCGGGCTGAAATGGGCAGTACTGGGGCTCTACCGGGCTGGATGGGGGCTCTACCGGGCAATACAGGTCTATAATAGGGCTCTACCGGGCAGTACCGGGGCTCTACCGGGCGCTACAGGTCTCTAACGGAACTCTACCGGGATGTAATGGCCAATACTGGGGCTCTACCGGGCGCTACAGGTCTCTAACGGAGCTTTACCGGGATGTAACCGGCAATACCGCGGCTCTACCGGGCGGAACCGGGGCTCTACCGGGCTGGACCGGGGCTCTACCGGGCGCTACAGGTCTCTAACGGAGCTTTACCGGGATGTAACGGGCAGTACCGGGGCTCTACCGGGCGGAACCGGGGCTCTACTGGGCTCTACCGGGCTGGACCAGGGCTCTACCGGGCACTATAGGTCTCTAACGGAGCTTTACCGGGATGTAACGGGCAGTACCGGGGCTCTACCGGGCGGAACCGGGCTCTACCGGGCTGGACCGGGGCTCTACCGGGCGGAACCGGGCTCTACCGGGCTGGACCGGGGCTCTACCGGGCGGAACCGGGCTCTACCGGGCTGGACCGGGGCTCTACCGGGCGGAACCGGGCTCTACCGGGCTGGACCGGGGCTCTACCGGGCGGAACCGGGCTCTACCGGGCTGGACCGGGGCTCTACCGGGCGGAACCGGGCTCTACCGGGCTGGACCGGGGCTCTACCGGGCGGAACCGGGCTCTACCGGGCTGGACCGGGGCTCTACCGGGCGGAACCGGGCTCTACCGGGCTGGACCGGGGCTCTACCGGGCGGAACCGGGCTCTACCGGGCTGGACCGGGGCTCTACCGGGCACTATAGGTCTCTAACGGAGCTTTACCGGGATGTAACGGGCAATACCGGGGCTCTACCGGGCGGAACCGGGCTCTACCGGGCTGGACCGGGGCTCTACCGGGCACTATAGGTCTCTAACGGAGCTTTACCAGGATGTAACGGGCAATACCGGGGCTCTACCGGGCGGAACCGGGCTCTACCGGGCTGGACCGGGGCTCTACCGGGCACTATAGGTCTCTAACGGAGCTTTACCGGGATGTAACGGGCAGTACCGGGGCTCTACCGGGCGGAACCGGGGCTCTACTGGGCTCTACCGGGCTGGACCAGGGCTCTACCGGGCACTATAGGTCTCTAACGGAGCTTTACCAGGATGTAACGGGCAATACCGGGGCTCTACCGGGCGGAACCGGGCTCTACCGGGCTGGACCGGGGCTCTACCGGGTGGTACAGGTCTCTAACAGAGATTTACCGGGGCTCTACCGGGTAGCATCGGGGCTCTACCGGGCCGGACCGGGGCTCTACCGGGCACTACAGGTCTCTAACGGAGCTTTACCGGGATGTAATGGGCAATACCGGGGCTCTACCGGGCTGGACCGGGACTCTACCGGGTAGCATCGGGGCTCTACCGGGCTGGACCGGGGCTCTACCGGGCACTACAGGTCTCTAACGGAGCTTTACCGGGATGTAACCGGCAATACCGGGGCTCTACCGGGCTGGACCGGGACTCTACCGGGTAGCATCGGGGCTCTACCGGGCTGGACCGGGGCTCTACCGGGCACTACAGGTCTCTAACGGAGCTTTACCGGGATGTAACCGGCAATACCGGGGCTCTACCGGGCTGGACCGGGACTCTACCGGGTAGCATCGGGGCTCTACCGGGCTGGACCGGGGCTCTACCGGGCACTACAGGTCTCTAACGGAGCTTTACCGGGATGTAACCGGCAATACCGGGGCTCTACCGGGCTGGACCGGGACTCTACCGGGTAGCATCGGGGCTCTACCGGGCTGGACCGGGGCTCTACCGGGCACTACAGGTCTCTAACGGAGCTTTACCGGGATGTAACCGGCAATACCGCGGCTCTACCGGGCGGAACCGGGGCTCTACCGGGCTGGACCGGGGCTCTACCGGGTGGTACAGGTCTCTAACGGAGCTTTACCGGGATGTAATCTGTGTCACGCGTGTCGTAGGTGGCCATGGAGAACCGGGAATGGGCCACCCTCAGCCCCCAGGAGTTTGCCCAACTGCAGCAGTACCTGGACTGTGAGTGTGTTTTGGGGGAGGGGGGGCGGGTGTGAAACACGTGGGGACCCCCCCGTTGCGCCCGCACACGCGTGTGGATGGGCTTAACACGCCTAAGTGTGTGTAGTGGCTCTACACGCGTGTGGGCGGCTTTGCACGCCTGGGGGGGGCCGTGCACGCGTGGGGATGGATTCACATGGCTGGAGGGGGGGCTTTGCACGCGTGTGCGTGTGTGGGGGTGTGCTTTACACACATGTATGTGCCTGGGGGTGGATCTGCACACACGTGTGCATGTGTGCCATTGGCTTTGTACACGTGTGGGCGGCTTCACACGCCTGTGGTGACGCCTGGGGGTGGCCGTGCACGTGTGTGCACAGATTTGGATGTCTAGGGGGGGGCTTTGCACACGTGTGCGTCTCTACCGGGTAGCATCGGGGCTCTACCGGGCTGGACCGGGGCTCTACCGGGCACTACAGGTCTCTAACGGAGCTTTACCGGGATGTAACCGGCAATACCGCGGCTCTACCGGGCGGAACCGGGGCTCTACCGGGCTGGACCGGGGCTCTACCGGGTGGTACAGGTCTCTAACAGAGATTTACCGGGGCTCTACCGGGTAGCATCGGGGCTCTACCGGGCCGGACCGGGGCTCTACCGGGCACTACAGGTCTCTAACGGAGCTTTACCGGGATGTAATGGGCAATACCGGGGCTCTACCGGGCTGGACCGGGACTCTACCGGGTAGCATCGGGGCTCTACCGGGCTGGACCGGGGCTCTACCGGGCACTACAGGTCTCTAACGGAGCTTTACCGGGATGTAACCGGCAATACCGCGGCTCTACCGGGCGGAACCGGGGCTCTACCGGGCTGGACCGGGGCTCTACCGGGTGGTACAGGTCTCTAACAGAGATTTACCGGGGCTCTACCGGGTAGCATCGGGGCTCTACCGGGCCGGACCGGGGCTCTACCGGGCACTACAGGTCTCTAACGGAGCTTTACCGGGATGTAATGGGCAATACCGGGGCTCTACCGGGCTGGACCGGGACTCTACCGGGTAGCATCGGGGCTCTACCGGGCTGGACCGGGGCTCTACCGGGCACTACAGGTCTCTAACGGAGCTTTACCGGGATGTAACCGGCAATACCGCGGCTCTACCGGGCGGAACCGGGGCTCTACCGGGCTGGACCGGGGCTCTACCGGGTGGTACAGGTCTCTAACAGAGATTTACCGGGGCTCTACCGGGTAGCATCGGGGCTCTACCGGGCCGGACCGGGGCTCTACCGGGCACTACAGGTCTCTAACGGAGCTTTACCGGGATGTAACCGGCAATACCGCGGCTCTACCGGGCGGAACCGGGGCTCTACCGGGCTGGACCGGGGCTCTACCGGGCGCTACAGGTCTCTAACGGAGCTTTACCGGGATGTAACCGGCAATACCGCGGCTCTACCGGGCGGAACCGGGGCTCTACCGGGCTGGACCGGGGCTCTACCGGGCGCTACAGGTCTCTAACGGAGCTTTACCGGGATGTAACCGGCAATACCGCGGCTCTACCGGGCGGAACCGGGGCTCTACCGGGCTGGACCGGGGCTCTACCGGGCGCTACAGGTCTCTAACGGAACTCTACCGGGGGGGGGCTTTGCACGCGTGTGCGTGTGTGGGGGTGTGCTTTACACACATGTATGTGCCTGGGGGTGGATCTGCACACACGTGTGCATGTGTGCCATTGGCTTTGTACACGTGTGGGCGGCTTCACACGCCTGTGGTGACGCCTGGGGGTGGCCGTGCACGTGTGTGCACAGATTTGGATGTCTAGGGGGGGGCTTTGCACACGTGTGCGTGTGTGGGGGTGTGCTTCACACATGTGTGCGTGCCTGGGGGCGGATCTGCACACACGTGTGCATGTGTGTCAGTGGCTCTGTACACATGTGGGCGGCTTCGCACGCCTGTGGTGACACCTGGGGGTGGCCATGCATGCATGTGCACGCGTGTGCACAGATTTGGATGTCTGGGGGGGGCTTTTCACGCCTGTGCGTGTGTGGGGGTGGCTTCACACACCTGCGTGTGTGCCTGGGGGCGGATCTGCACACACGTGTGCATGTGTGTCAGTGGCTCTACATGTCTGTGGGCGGCTTCACATGCCTGTGGTGACACCTGGGAGTGGCTGTGCATGCGTGTGCACAGATTTGGATGTCTGGGGGGGGTTTTGCACACGTGTGCGTGTGTGGGGGTGTGCTTCACACGCTTGTGTGTGTGCCTGAGGGTGGATCTGCACACACGTGTGCATGTGTGTCGGTGGCTCTGTACACATGTGGGTGGCTTCACACGCCTGTGGTGACTCCTGGGAGTGGCCGTGCACGCGTGTGCACAGATTTGGATGTCGGGGGGGGGGGTTTGCACGGTGCACGCGTGGGGATGGATTCACATGGCTGGAGGGGGGGCTTTGCA